TGCTGGACATGAGATACCTTGTAAGTGATTTCGTCCCGCAGCTCGTATCGAAGGAGCCATAAGTCTCGATTTGGTAAACGCTAACTCTCAGTAGACTTCCAACCGGCTGCTGCTTTCCAAATCTTCAACAGAACTAGCAATCGATTCGACATCGCCACAGGGCAATTCAAGATCACCCCTGATAGTACGTTTCAGACGAATGGAACCGCCAAGACTACCAAGACAACCTCACTTTCGCCTTTGGCGGCACAGACAGCGGCTTGAATATTCAAATCAGACTTTCAACTTTCTCGTGAGGCCTGAGAGCTAGGCAATGAATAGGCAATGGAACATAGCTCAATTCGACTTGGTCGTCCTTCTTGGGGTCTAGAGATCTGGGGAGTCGCCCTGTAGGGATCAGGGTATGGATGATCTGGGTTCTTGCTCTGATTTTGACATTATTCAAGCTTAGGAATGCGAAAGAAAACATCTATATCAAGAATGATAATCAAAATTGAGCCGTCAATCGGTCGGAAGCGAAAAGAGCTTCTGATAACATGATCGATGGCTGTCCAACCCATGTTACTCACTCCCAAGCCAAAGAATGAAGAAATGGGTCCCAGGGTTTGATACAATCTAGGTCGATTTCGCAAGAAGGATTAAGACTTAGATTGATGAAGAAAATCTGATCAATAGCTTACGTTATAAGTACGTCTAATGAAAGCTATTAGATAAGAAGGTTACAAAGAAGCAGTAAGTGACTAGACCAAAAACATGTCTTATCGAAACCAGACCTCAGAGTAAGTAAGATAAGTTCTGTCAGTCAAGAAACTCATCACTTCATCAACAAGTCGAGGTAAAAGTCGCGGGGATGTTCAGCACCGAATGTGATCCAATCTAAAGTTTTCAGCGCGCCCTTCAGTCCTTACGCGCTGTCAAGTCTTCTCGGTTCTCAGTACCTTACAGGGAATTGTGCTATGTGTAGCTTTGCGGTGCCGTATGGGACCAAGCGGGCCACAAAACTCTCCCCATGCGAAGTTGTATCAACTGCACTGGGGTCTGCTGCTGTTCCATTCTGAACAGGCCAATCTACCCAAGCAGCTTCGACCTCGAGATGTACAGGCGAAGTGCCTGAGGCCCAAACTGGGTTCGGGAGGGCAGCCACCTGTCTCTCAACCCCTTCTTCTATCCAAGAGTCTCGTTCCACGACCACTTTGACACCCTTGCTAGGGTCAATTGCAATGTTCCAACGAGAATTTGGGAGGTAGTCGTGATCACGGCAAGCTTTCCTCCACGGCTCATCGCCTTGATCGCTGATATTTGCAAGTTCTGTGCAGTCGGAGGTTTGGTCTTTGTAGTCGCGTGGCAGTCTCGTGATCGTCTTGTGACCGACCTCGTAAGCATAGAGCAAGGGGCCATAGTAAACGCTAACAGAGTTGTCGTCATGTTCCTCAACCCTCACATCCGCGTTCAGCGTAACGAAAATGACAAAGTCTCCTCCAGACGGGATCTGGAGACGGTGAAAGGATTCTGGATCTTCATTTCTAGCAGTCGAGCCGAAAGGTTGTGTTTCTCGTCGAGACTGTGATTCGCTTTCACGTAGCTCTATCGTGGAGGAGGTCGATGACCAATGTGGAACTCGGATGAGGAAGTCGAATGCCTCTCGCGCATGGATAGAATAACGCAATGCGCAGGGAACAAAAGGGTAGTTTGATTCGCAATTGATGCTTATTCCGTCGATGTCCAGTCGAGAAGGGATGAGATGGGCATGGACCACTGAAGGCTTGCCATGGCTTGTCTGACCTCGGAGAAAGGCGTTCATCAACATCTTGGGGTATGCGGTAGGATGATTGACAGTACAGCAAGGCTTTCATATCCAGTCAGTAAAAAGTCCCATGATGTTTAGACGGACCACTAACAAATTCTGGCTCTAGTCCAAAGACATTAGCGTATCGACAAACATCGTAAAATGGCGTCTTCTCGTCTTCGGCAAGTTCCAATTCACAGGCCCACGGCTGGTTAACCTGAGTGATGTATTGATGGCTCCACCAATCCGCACTAATTCCAGCTGGAATGGCGTTGAACGCTGCTAGTTCCACCCGGTCGGCTAAGTCATTGTCCCCAAAGAGTTGGTAAAGGTATGACAATGTGAACATAAGCTCGACGGAGCAACAAAGCTCAGAGCCCCGTTGAGGAGAGAGGCCACCGATGTACTCATCGCTACTGACTGATCCGGCGGGAGTTCCATGATATTTGAAGGTCTTGTGCACAGCATCTCTGGATAAGTTCGCCAGCTCAAGAGATGGGTGCATTCGATATAGATGAGCTGGATAACGGAGTCCTGTGTATGTGATGTCAATATCAGCGTGCGTCCCCATCTTAGCGACTAACCTTGCGCAACATTGACACCATGCTTGAAGTTGAGAGACTTATATCTGACAGACGGCTCTTGTGGAAAGTCTTTCCCGAAGAAGACAGTCCAATCTCTTTCCATTATTCGAGATCCTTGCCACATCATCTCCATGACCTCCCAAATGATTCTGCGATCTTGAGTATCATCGGTCTGGTCGTAGAGCCATTGAAGAGTTAGTGCTAGCTCATGGGCGCGGGCAACACCAAAGAGCTGTAAGTCGAAAACATCGTCCTTCTGCGGGATGTACCCCGCATAGTTATCTTTGAGCATGGCGTGCACTAGTCTAACAAAACGGAAAATCGCGTTCATGATGGTCTGCCGTTTTGTTGAGTCCGCAATGGCATGATTCATGAGGCCTTGCAGCAAGAGACAGCGCGCCCAGATACCCCGAGTATGGGGCGTTGTCTCTGGTCCAAGCCAGCCATCCGTAGCTTGGTGAGACAACGTGTAATCAAGAAAGGAATCCGCCTGTTTCTTGATTTCGATATACAAATTCGGATCTGATGCCTCGTCAAGCGTGTATGCCAAGGGAACAATGTAGTTATACCAGTACGGGGCTGCCTCGTTCAAGGGGGTGTACTCCCATGTACCCCCGAGCCAAGTGCTTTCTTTGACAAAACGATAGAAGTAGAACAAATTGCCTCCAAGACCTTTTGCACTAAGTCGGAGCTGATCTTGGAACCAGCCGTTAGGCTTTATCGTCCCCAAAGGATAAGTATCGAAATGAAGTGGTACCAGGCTGTGGCTGGAGCCGCCGGAAACAGGAATTGGAGACATGTCGATGGATAATTGCCGATATTCTACCAGCTTAAAGGTTGTCCTACATGAAAGAGCTGGAGGGCGAATGGTGATTTTGTGATCCTCTAATTCTTTCTATATTTCCTCAATCCACGCCATTTCATGAAGGAATCAGGCTGCTAGTTCTGGAAGATGACCTAAAGAATTCTTCCAATCTACCTACCTACATAGGTTGTGCATATTTCGGGTTGGATTTCCTCCGATTCCTGGTAAAGATCGCCCACGGTAAAGACCGCCCACAGCAAGGAAGATTACCGATGCTACAAGATTGGCCCGACGCGAAGATGGCGAGGAAATGATAAGGATTATCTTCTTACCCCGTGTTTACCTGCTGCAGTGTCTCCCGCGCGTGTGACGGGCAAAAATTTGTGTTCGAGTGGCAGTAGGCTTGATGCATGACCGGGAGCGTCTCCGAATGCTACGGTACGGTACGCCGAGCCAATAATGCATGTAGCCGATTGGACCAAGATTAGGACCATTACTTTGTATACGAAGGGTAATGAGTCAAGATACTGTTACGCTTGTGGCCCAGCGATTTCGCACGTGATGACGCTGAACCAGCGGGCCACAAAAGAAGAGTTGATCAATAGATACATTCTGAAATATTAATCAACAATGCTAGTTTCCCTCTTTTAACGAGCAACGGATGCGCCACATTTGTTTTATCCAATCCGTATAGGGAGGTAGTCTGCGTAACGAATAATCTCGATGAACAAGATGACAAATGTTACGGTCTTCGAAATTCTGCCCGTAATTCAGTTGGCTTGTACTTTAGCCCTTGACGTCAGTATCTTTGGAGATTAACCTCGGACAAGGTGATGAGGTTTGATACTAAGTCCGTGTTCGATATCTTGGGAGATTTCTCGACTTCGAGTCGGCTTCATCACGAGGCGGGTAATACTTTGCAAGGCATCAACTATCCACACTGATCGAGGTGTGATCTATGTAGTCTGGGATTCTCATATCCGCAGACTGGGTCGAAGTACTCATTATGCCAAGAAGGAACATGACATTTACCTCCGGCAACGAGACTGCAAAGCTGATCGATACTTAGACATTTCGCTGAACCCTTCGAAGAATCTGTTGGTTCACATTGCAACCTCATCCTCGCAGCAACAAGCGTGCACCAACGAACCGCAGGGTTTCTCCGGCTATTTAGTTAAGGCTAAATACGAATCGAGTCACTTTCTTGTTAATTGATCGATTGCTCACCAAGTACGTACCGATGCGTTGATACCTCGCCGTTTCCGTTATGCGAGCTATGGTAAATAAAAAACCTAGGAAAAGGATTTTCCACGGCACAGAGAAGTCCCATAATGTAGGCCGCAATTGTCTTATAGCTCAGTCGACTCCACTGATTTTGTTGATCGCGATATCAGTCTTCGCTCGTTAAGATTCAGACACCGCTAGAAAAGTTAGATAGCCAGATCTATGGCCTTCAGTGACGCAGCCGGGAGACGTCAATTATCAACTGCTCGAAATTCAGAGGGTTGTCGAAATCCCTAACCTCACATTCATGTGGGTTTGGATAGGCGGTCAGCGGAGAAGTGACTGGAAATGGGTGATCCGCGTGGACCAGGATCTCGAACGAATGAAAGTCGTTCAAAGTCAGACACGCAACCAACGCCAAGTAAGAGGAGCAACTCAGTCTCACTTCGTATTGCGTTGATCGGTCAGGCGGGTATCCATCAGACGTTTGCTTCAACAAAGTTGCCTCTCTTAACCAGACGACAATCAGCACTCAGCGTAAGTTGAAGGTTGTCTCCCTAAGTGTCGGCCACATCTCGTGCAGCATTCATAGACGACAAGCATGGCAAGCCAAGCTGTAGAGCCTCCTCCTCCCCTTGGAGAAACTATAGATGAGCCCGAAATCCAGCAGAATGGAGTGGATCTAAACCAAGAGCAGCAACCAAACACGCACTTGCAAGGATGGGCACTTGTTTCTCTGGTCATTGCCTTCATGGCCATTTGCTTCGTGCTGGCACTCGACAATACCATTTTAGGTACGTAGACTTTCTCACTTTTGTCTGGGCAAAACTTTGAACTGACAAAAGGGTTCGATCAGCAACTGCAATACCACAAATCACCAGCGACTTCAAAAGTCTCAATGACATCGGTTGGTATGGTTCGTCCTACCTGATCGCGCAAATGGCGATGTTGCCAACTTGCGGTCGCCTCTACGCCTTCTACAACATCAAATGGGTGTACTGCATATCGCTCATCATCTTCGAGGTCGGCTCCGTCATATCGGCCGTCGCACCGAACTCAATGGCCCTCATTATCGGAAGGGCTGTTTCTGGTGTAGGAGCTGCCGGTTTGGTGAGCGGAACTACGACAATCTTGTCTTACTGCGTTCCATTGAAAAAGCAGGCAAAATTGTCACCGGTCATTCTGGGTCTGTATAGCACTGGATCGGCCATAGGACCGCTGGTAGGTGGTTCTATTACGGACAGCAAGACGCTTTCTTGGCGCTTCATCTTCTGGCTCAACCTTCGTAAGTGCGGTCTCCCGGAGTCTCCCTGCTCACCATTTATTGACAGATGATAGCATTTGGTGCTATCGGGCTGGCCCTCATCTGGATCAGCTTGAGAAATCCTCCTCCTGCTGTCAAGGGGAATCTACCGTGGAAGCACAAGATACGGCAACTCGACATGTTAGGCGCTACGCTACTACTTGGTGCAACGTCGTGTTTGAATCTCGCTCTGCAGTGGGGTGGAATTGTGCATCCGTGGTCGAATCCCAAGGTGTTCGGATGCCTAATCGGATTTGGCCTGCTGCTCATTTGCTTCGTTAGTTTGCAAGCCCGGGGCAAAGAAACGTGGGTGATTCTTTCATACTAGTCTAGGAGCCTCATATTCTCGTTTGGAACGCCTGCTGATCTCATGCTAGTGCTACTGTTCCCCTCCGCATCTTGCGAGGCCGCACCGTCGTTGCATCATGTTGTTTCATGATGCTTGTTCAGGTGGCCATAGTACTGCACTCGTACTACTGGCCGATTTACTTTCAGTCGGTCAGAAACAACAGCGCCAGAGACTCAGGCATATATCTACTACCAATCATTGTGTCTAACAGTCTCGGCACACTCTGCGCGGGCTGGATCTCGTCAAAGTCTGGGCATTATGTCCCTTTGATGTGGATCGGTGCTCCTATTCTTGCTGTAGGAGGCGGTCTCTACCAACTAGTGCACTCTCAAAGCCCGCGCGGTCAGTGGGTCCCTATCCAAATTGCGTCCGGGCTTGGGTACGGAATGTGTAGCCAGATGCCGATACTTGCGGTCCAGGTAGTTCTCGACAAGACGGACGTGCCTACAGGTCTCGTGATCATCATGTTCTTCCAGGTGCTCGGAGGTGCTCTAGCTCCCAGTATCGGACAGAACCTCTTCACGGATACACTCCTGCGGATGCTGAACGCGATCGACGGAATCGATGGTACAGCTGTTGTGGCAGTTGGTGCAGGGGAGTTCAGGAGCATTGTCCCTCCACAGCTCTTGGAAGCTGTCATCGATGCGTTTAACTCTGCCTTGAAGAAGGTCTTCTGGGTTGCCCTTGCAACCCCGGCCCTTGCTTGGCTAGTCAGCTGGGCCATGGAGTGGCGTCAGATACCTAACACCAAGGAGCATACTACGGAGGATCCCGAAGTAATGTCTCTGAGAAATCTTTAGTTCAGATTAAGGGAACTACTTGCGTTGTGCTGGATTTTGGTTTGGCACACCAGCTCATTGAAGATTCATCTTTTTACCTTAGTCTGTGTCTTGTACATAAAACACGTCATGTCGACTTCTTCTGAAATTCTTCAGAAAAAATGGAACCCGGGATGTCTCGATTTGGAGCCACGCATAGGTGGGTGACTGGCCAGTGAAAGGTGTACTGAAGATTGACAAGTACCTTAGGTCGGCGGCTTGGCCGCTGACAGGCTAGGAAGGCCTGACCATCGAGTTACGAATCACATCAAGTGAGTCGATCTTTGTGAACGCTATGAAAGGTGTGCCATCACCGAAAGTCTCCATTTGGCCGATGAACATGTGGCTGAGAAACCCGCACTCTGATGCCGAGGGCGTAGCGTGAAAAGAAGCCGAACATCCACAATAGCACCAACGGTTGCTCAAATGAAGCAAATGCCGAATCGATTATGTCTGAGATATGCTCGAGGATTTTGACAATGCAAGAAATGAAAGGGCATGGTGGGGTTCCCCGAAACACCTCGCCCGGGTTCGGCCTCGGGCTCTACGAGGTGGAACGTGGCCTAGAAGTAGCCGAGGTAACCCAACTTCATATGGACTTGGTGCAGGAGAGACAAAATAGCATGGAACAGGATTGCGACTCCGTGGGCTCCCGGAGCTAGACGAAAATTTTGAGACTTGGATTCTGAGGAGCAAGGTATCTTCTCTACGGCCGATGCCTGGAATTTCCCTATCGTTGGACAGTTCTCCATTGCTACTATCCACTCTGCGCGAAGGATTGCCGAACCTGGCCATATCAAACCTGGCCATATTTCTTGATACTTATTTAGGATCCTCGGTACTTAATGTCTTCAACCGCAATACTTCTGTTGCTCTCTGGTTACTGCTCAAGGGCACTTGGAGAGCTTATTTAGAGTCAACTTGGCTCCGATAAAGTCCACAAGCCTACACCGATACAATGGCTTCGGAAGCTGGAGACAAGGCGGTCACCACACAGGATAATACCAAGGTCCACAAAAGAGCTTCCCACGCTTGTCTAGTCTGTAGGGCTCGCAAAGTGAGGTGCGATGTCACCGTCCGTGGTCCTCCATGCATGAATTGTCGTCTTGACGGCGACGAATGCGAAGTAAAATGGTCTAGACGAACCAAGCGACAGTAAGTCAGACACTAAGAGAGGTGACTACCAAGCAGACCACTGATTATGACACTTCATGTACTTCAAGTTGGCGCGCGAAGGGTTTTGACCCCCGGAGAGGCAACTTTGGCCTCTCCAGACCACGCCGTTCCGGACAAGTACCATCTCTGAATCTAAGGGGCGACCTTGAAAACGAAAGCTCAAGACTTGAAGGGCCCTTAGAAACATCCGAGAAGTTGCCCTCGCCCGTCAACTCTATTTTGATGCATCCAACTTTAGGAAGCCCAGGGCCTTTGAACTCGTTGTTTGGAGTCCCGAGGCAGCCAGGCTCGACCCGGGGCAACGATAATGGCATTCATCCAGCTTCTGCAATAGATCAGGCGGAACTCAATGCAATGACGGCGAAACATCTTGATGCCTGCGGTGGCTGGCGGTCAGAAGACGCAGGGATCGTGAATATGACATCTTCCACGACTCCACGAGCCAGCTATGTCGACAGGCAGGGCATGATGAGCGAGATGGATGGGTTTACGGCGAATGTATTTTGCTCGCTGTGGTACAACAGCTATGCCTACTACCAATTTCTTGTCCTGACCAACCTTTCTTCCATGCCGCCACAAGATTACAGGTTTCTTGAACAGCAAGGATGTCTTCACATCCCAACCCCCACAATCCTCGACGGTTTCGTACGCCATTATTTCTTATACGTTCACCCAATTTTGCCAATAATCGACGAAGGGGCATTCTGGGACGTTTACTATCAGCGTCCTAAATCGCAGCCATGCGATGATAAGATCTCGCTACTTCTCTTCCAGAGTATGCTTTTTTCTTGCTGCAATGTAAGTTGGCCCCGCCTCACGAACTATTTGCAAAGCATCGTCACGAAATCCATCAACTGACTCGGCTGCCATGGCAAGTTTCTGCCTCAGACGACACTCACCCAACTCGGCCTAGGGACGACCCGGAAAGCGCGTGCGATGTTCTACCGGCGGGCAAAACTCCTTTTCGACCTGGATACTGAGTGCTCGTCAATGGCAAAGTCGCAAGCTGCGCTGCTGTTGGCATCGTATTCGTTCTCCGCGTATGAGGCCCCTCACAAGCACAACATCCCCTGGCTCTCCATCGCTATACATCACGCCAGAGACGCCGAAGCACACAAGTACGAAAAATTCGATGTCAACTCAGAGGAGCATGCGGTCCGCAAGCGGCTGTGGTGGGGCTGTATTATTCGAGACAGGATTCTCGCCTTAGGGATGCGTCGAGCCATGCTGCTCACGCCTGAACAGTCCACCATCGTCGGCAACGTCCCTCTCTCCCGGTTTGATCTTGCAGATGAGGCTACTCGGAGCTTGGTGTACGATTTCGAAACAAAGATTCTCTTGGGAGATATCCTCGGGCTACTAGTGGAGTTGTGCATCATTTTAACCGACATACTGGACCTGGCGTTCCCGATTGAAGACTGTTTGAAACACGGCCGGACCAACGCAGAGGCTGGAAGGCAGATACAGAATTGCCAGAAGGCCCTGGTGGGTTGGCGTCGGGAGGCGACTATTCGGCTTCCAAATAAGAGCCAGACTTCACGGATCTGTAAAGGTGAACAAGAGGGGTCGCTAGTTCTCTTTGCCAACCTTCTCTGGATGTACTACTAGTAAGAAATCAGCCCTTGTTTGACAAAGATCGATCAAGGTTTGTTGAGATACTCAATTGCTAACATGCTACCTTGGATAGCGCATCGCAGGTGGCGTTGGGTCACTACGAGATCCTCCGGACAGCCGCTATCACTACAGCTGCCAGCCCGTCTGATACCCCAGAGAACATACAGAAGCATTTTGAGCTCCAGACTGCTGCAATAGGAACAGTGGGATGTTTGGAAGAGCTTCTTGCCTCTCAACTCATCAAGAGACTTCCCGTTACGGCCATCTCATGCACGGCGCTACCTTTACTCCTACATTTCTTGGACGTGGAGATGTCTTCCGCGGCAGCGGACAATGAAAATCCACAGCGTCTTGAACTGATGAAGTACCGACTGAAGATTCTCAAAAGCGCCATGGAGGTATACCGATTCCAGTATGAAGGGGTTGAATGGGTGAGCGACGCGATCAACCAGGTGGTTAAGCTTGCGCAGGTCGGCGCCATGACGGACGCCGAGCCGTCGATGCTGCAGCGGAGCAGGCCGGGATCTATTGGTGTGAGTGGTTCAATTGAGGCTTTGAACTTCCAACCCAGATGGTATCTTCGAATTGCATTCACAATAGATGTAGCGTTTAGCAAGGGCCGACTACCAGATGACGCACAGTTTCTCCGTAGTTTTAGCGGCTTTGGCGTGTTCGAAACGAAGCTACCACGGGGTGTCCAGGGAGTGAGATATGAAAATGGAAAAGTCCGGGAACCGGTAGTTACGGAGACTTCGATAGGCGCCGCAGCAGTTTCGTCCCAAGGCTTGCATTGCATGGGAGAAGAAGGTGGAAGTGCATATGCAGTAGAGGAGACAGACTCTGGATTGGCGGTGAATTGGGAAGATGGGGAGGCAAGCCAAAGAAACATGGAGACAACGGACAGTTCTGGCACAACTACTACAGGGTCTGGAACAGTATTGGGTCAGCATAAACTCACTCAAGGTAACGTGGTAGACGCGGGAGCGCTTGGGGAGACGGGCTTGACTGCCAATGAGTTGGACATTTTCTTCTTGTGGGGAGACGAAGGACCAGATAGCAGTTCGATATGAGGATAGAGCATGATTGTTTGTGGCCAAGTCTTAGGGCTGTTTTGACACGTCACCCTTGGACTACTCGCGTAGGCTCAGAGATTGAAAGCTGGCAAGTTTGGCTCGGGCCCGAACTGCCTCGTGAAGCCAAGTGGGCTCATGTGTGTGACAAAAGTAGGCATTGGATCCGAGGGCCTGAACAAGTCATCCTACTTCGTGGCCTTTCGTGTAAGTATTGTTTCGAAATAATTTCATTGTCCCAATTTAACCTGCTTTACCTACTTTGAGTCCGTGTAAGGTACTCTCAGTGATGGCCATGAACACACGCAACGATTGGGTCTGCTGATACTTGTATTCTTCTTCTACATCGATCCACGTCAGAAAGCTTTGACAAGGGCCTTCCTCGAGGTTATATTGAACGGAATCACATAATATACTGAGAATACTTGGTTCGACCTACTCAAAAGTTGTACGAAAGAGCATGTATCTTTCCATTCCCGTTACCCCGCGTTTAAGTTGCAGGATGCCGCATTGGCGCCTTGTGGGGATTCTGCCGGCCTGCTGGTGCCCCACTTCGAACCGGTTACCAACATTCTTCTTCATGTTGTTCTTCGTTCCTCAACCACTCTTCCACATACCTCGGCGATCTTCGCGTGGCTCATACTATTTATTTAGCTTCATGTTTGAGCCATGGCTTGCAAAGCATGCCGCGCGAAGAAGATCAAATGCGACCGCGTCCGGCCCGTCTGCCAAAATTGCAGACAACGAGCCAGTCACTGTTCGTACGCCGGCGAGCGACGGGTACGTCGCTGGACGGAAGCCGACGCTGACAACAGACGTCTTTCCACCTCTCAGAATGACCAAAGCCCGAGTGTCATCGACCTGGGCCAGCGTTCCTTGCCGAGACAGCCCGATGCCGGCGCCGCTGCGTGCCATGTTGAACAAGGGCTGTGCGTCCAGTCTACCACCCGTTTAACACACCGCATGCCGGATGGAACGGCGCAGAATGACGCCGCATCAGATTGTCTGGACTGGAGCATCGCTATCGCCGCTCCTGCCGCTCGATCTGACTGGCAAACCATGGATTCCAACTCCATGGCTAGCCTCTTTGCTCAGATGGCCCGCGACGGCGAGGTCATCCTCCAAACTCCAGCCGACTCCACCTCTACCCAAGGTGAAAGTCTACTTGATAAAATCCTTGACGGTGATGAGGACTTGGAGAGCCTCAAAGACGCCAGCCCGGCCTTGTGGGGCCGAACCACCGACGGTGACGAATACACCGGCCCCTCCTCCGGCATCTCCACAGTTTCCGACCTCGGTCTGAACTGGATTCGAGATAAAGTCCCCGACTCGAACCTCCTTTGTGAGACAATTCAGGACATACGAAACGCCATTCTCGTCCATATTCGCCAGCCGAAGTGCATCACGCAAGACTTGCCACTCGCGCTATCAACATCTCATCGGATTCTAGACATTCCTCGGCCGCAGCTGCTTGAGTATATCGATGCCTATTTCACGGAGGTTCAAGTCGTCTTCCCCATCCTGGACCGGGATACCTTTGACTCTCAGCTGACTGAAATGGGAGATGGTTCTGATGTTGTTCAAAAGCCGTCTTGGTTAGCACTGTTGAACGTCGTGGTAGCTTCGGGGCTTCGAGCCTCACTCTCCGATGAGACTTCCGAGGCTTTTCGAACATCTGTTTCTGAGGCATGGGGATACTTCCGATCAGCTCTATCCTACGAGTCCCAGATTGTTCACGGCGCCACCGACCTACTAGCTGTGCAAGCAGTGGCTTTGATGGCCGTCTTCGCACAAGGGCTGTCCAGTCCCCAGAGGCTCGAATATACTCTCTCCTCGGTCGCTTTACGGTTAGCCCAGAGCATTGGGCTCAACTGCGCCTCGCCTCCCGAATGGAGTCTCTCTGATGTCGAGAAGAAGGAGCGCAACCGTGTCTTCTGGGCAGTCTATTGTCTGGACAAATCAATTGCCTTACGCTGTGGTCGACCTGCGGTCATTTGCGACGAAGAAATCAGCTGTCCTTTCCCGCGAGGAATCGACTTGGCCCATCCGGGTTCAGCAACCAACGTCACAGAGATAGGCGAGGAAGAGTTGGACGTCGACTTTTTCCGATACTTCACAAAGCTTGCGCGTATTGGTGGTGACATATCCCGGTCCTTGTATTCTGCGAGCGCTCTCTTCATGCCAATATCTCGGCTAGTGCCAGCATTAAATCGCTTGCTGCAGGAATTGGAGAGGTGGCTGAAATCTATTCCTATTAAGGTCCGGCCTGGTAGGCCACTTGGTAAAATCCTCGGGAGACAGGGGGTATCACGGGTACAAATCATTGTTCTACATTCATCCTACTACTACGCGTTGTGCTCTATTTTCAGACGCGGATCACCCATGTTCAATCAAGGAAAAACAGATGTGGAACATCTTATCGATGGAAAGTCTCATATATCGCACATAGAGGCCGCAAGGTCCATTGTCTTGCTCACGAAGCACCTGGATATCGAGAGCTTCACTCCGGCATGGTATGTCTCACACTTTTCTATGTCGTTACCGGAATCTGGTTGTTGGACGATCCATAAGCCCCCACACAGCTTCGATTGCTTTCGCAGTTGTGACAGATAACTCGTTTCGCTACTCTCTTACAGATGATTCCCTGATTCTAACCTCGCACATGTTGGAAGGCTCGTCTTCTACTATCCATTCACAGCCTTGACCACAATCTTCGTCCATGTGGTGTCCAACCCACATGATAGCCGTAACCAGAGCGACATAGCCCTCATGGAAACAGTCGTTGGGTTCTTTGGACGCCTCGAGTACGTCACATCCGGCGAAGCTGCCTTTACAAAGACAACAGAATTTGTCCGACAGGCCCGGAGAGTTGTCGACAGTTATAAGAACAAGGGCGATAGCCGAAATATTCAGAGCACAACGAGTTATGAGGATCTCATGACATCTATGGAGATTTCCCTGCAGGGTGATGCCTCTACGCAGGGTAGGCCAGCAGAGGTGACGGGTGTCTATGCACGCAATTCAATCACTGCTAGCCAAGGCATCAGTGCATTCAATACCACGGGCACTAGTTTGCTTCCCCTGGCCAAATCTTCGCGAATGGAGGCCGTTAGCGAAGAGGACCATCCTGTGTCTGGCGTTCCGAACGTTCGAGAGATAGAAATTTCGCAAAATGGCCATACGATCTACTCCGACCTCGCTGGTTTTACGGTACCCAACATGGAAGACTCAATCCAAGTCCAGTGGTAGTATACTTCTTGGAATCACCAACATTTCCATGACCCATATTCTTGTTCTGTTCGAGCAATTAGTCAATATTCCTTGATGTATAATTACATATGGTAAAAATCGAAGGCATGAGGCTTTTGTTTGTTTAGGATGCTGTGAGGAAAATTGTTTTACTGGGCATGCGAATCCAGCCAAGCTTCGGGAGGTGTTTTGGGAGCTCTATCAAGCATGATTGAAGTGAGACGTCGCTAATTAAACCCCCCTAATTCACAAGCGAAAGACCCCATATCAATGGATTAGCTGATCGTGAGTTTGGTGAGATTTTCAGATGACTGCTAGCAAAAACAATGCCTCAAGTATTGCCTCTTCCTAGCATTAATTACACTTGGTTCATTGCACGCACCATCACAAAACGCTCCTGGGAACACAGACCATAGTTACCTCAACTACCTTAAGCCACTACAGAAACGAACTTCTCGTAGATTGAGCGAATGAACCCAAAATGCGACACTTCAGCTTACTCGGGCTCGGAATGCGGGGCGGAATCCGGGGCCGAACCCTGGGCCGACCCCGGATTAGGGATATGTAATGACATGGAGTTCTGAACCCGACAGTCCAATAAGCTCACAGCCAAGGCCGAAGCCGAGCCCGGGATGTTGTACTCTCGGTCTTGCAGGAACCCCAAGTTAAACTCCCTGTGACAATTGTGACTACTGATCTACCACAAGTACGAACAGTTTCATCAGCTTAGTCAAGGTAATATCACATGCTCGAAAAGTCCGGCAATCCGCGCGGGCCAATCTCGCGCCGCTTCTTCAATCCTTTCTCGTCCCCTCCAGCGCGCAAGGCTCCAATCATCTCCTCGGCATCAAAGTCTACACCAATCGGATTCTCGGTAAAGGCGTCGCTCATCATGAACGCAGTGGCCTCTTCAACCGTATCAAAGTTATCGACTTGCGTTTCTAGCATGTTGCCATCCGGGTCCTTGTAGTAGATGCTAGTCGTAGGGCCGTGGTTGACACACCAGACGGGCTCGATGCCCCGGGTCTTACGGTGGCGGTAGGCAAGCAGCAAAGCCTCCAGAGTATCGAAGGAGAAGGCGATATGCTCAAGGCCGCAGCTCGCCGGGTTCTTGGTCGCCGTTCCTGGAACCCCGATCAAAGCGATACGATGGTGCTCGTCGTCATAGGTGATGAATGATATCATCTCATTGCCGTAGGTGACGCTGCCTCCGAGAAATGTGGTGTAAAACTCAACCAGGCGGTGGAGGTTGCCGGTTCGTAGTACGACGTGGGCGAGGCCCGATGGACTTTTGACCTTGCTAACTGGAGCGTCGTAGTCGAGACCCTTGGAAATTTGTGACATGCTTCCTTTCAAATTTTACCAATCTTCTTCTATGTTCGGCCTTGGAGTGCTTTGTATGGATGATAAAGATCGTGTTTTTGGGTGTGCAGTTGAGTGGTAAATAAATGTGTCGAGCAAAAGTTCAGACAACTGAACATTGTAGGAAGGAAGTCGATGACATTTGTTTCCCCTCATTTCTAAGGCACTTGATGAGAACGTTGGCAATAGCACCAAATGATCGACTGCGTAGTTGACGCTAATGTCTCGATTCTTTGATGGTCTCCTCCAGGACTCTAACCCGAGCCCGATCCCGAAGAGACGAAAATACGACGAAAAGCGAATGGGCAAGCGCGTCTTCGCGTTTTGCTAGAAAGCGACGGATCTCCGAGCCAGAGGTGCGTCATCTGACGCTGACAGTATTTCTCTCTTATCCCCAGCTCAACATGCTATATCCACGAATAAGCATTTGCTTACCTCGCTACATCGAACTCCCTCTCTTCAAGGTTTACCTAGTCGCATTGTCATACTACTCTGTCATAACATTGCATTTCAAACAAACTCCGAGAAACCATGAGCTACGTCACGAACGCCACCAACTGGTTGTCTGATTCCATTACTTCTCAGGCCAAAAGCCTTGTCGCTACCTTCTACGAGCTCGCGGATTCCAAGGCTGAGGACGCAGGATATCGACTGGCCACCGACGTATTCTCGAATGAAGCAACATTCATCAGTCCTAGCGGGACTTTCAATGGGACTGCAGGTGAGATGAATCTGCCCCCGCGGTGATCGAAATCCTTTGAAAGGCATCTTGTTCTATGCTAACCCAAGGCTCATGCGTGCTATGCTCAACAGAGATATCAAAATGCAGAGAGGGTGCATGGTCTGTAGTGACGTTAAGGAGGCACAGCGTCTCGAAAGGGTTTGCGGCAACCCAAAGCATGGGCACGAGCAGTACGACTGAACTGGTCTTGCTTGGGTCGGTCCATATGGAGTTGGTGAATGGGAAGAGCCTCGACTCGCCGTTTGCTGCTCACATTATCATGGGCTCCTCAACTCAGCGCTTAACTGAGCCTCGTATCGACTTTCTGGAGGTCTTTTCTGTAAGTGATAAATTTTCTGATTGGAGCTTCATTGGCCACAGATTAATCCATTTACCGGTAGGACAAGTCGCCGCTAGCGGCGATTTTGAGTACGAAATAGGTATTCTCGTCATTGGGAGCTCTAGAGCGGGAGATTTGAGATACGCGATTGATGTAGTGGGCAGGCTGGATTGATATGTCGTCAGCATTGATAACAAAACACTATCAGCCAAAATGCTTGTAATTCACCAACTCATTATCATTGCATGCCATATAGAGACGGATTGACAAAGGCTCTCCCATAAGAGCAGCCTGCATGGGAAATACATGTCTTGTTTCACTGTTTTCTCAATTCTCCAGCTCTTTGCTCACGCATGATAGCCATCATGACTTGGTCTTTAGCCCACCTCGGCAACAAGATAGAGCTGGCTTGCTGCAGCGCGTGGCCCCAATATCCAACAACTATTCCATGCTCACGACCGCTTCGTGCCAGGGCGGCGCGGGCCATAGTCTGGGAATCGGGCGTAAACAGCGACGGAGCCTCCTTCAAGTGCGAAACATCCGTAACTCGGCCGATCCGGACACCTAACAACTCCACATTGCTGCTAGCATCGTCGAGTTTCAGCTCAAGACCCACGGCACGTGTCATAGTCATGAGGAACTGCTTGCTGGCGCTGTAAGACGCTAGTAGAGGGAATCCTTCGTCTGCCATGGAGCTAATGTTCATCACCAAGGCCGGCGCGTTCTGGCGGAGAACCGGTAGAAGCACTCTTGTAAGATGAAGTGGGAAGAGCGCATTCAGGCTGACGTTGCTGGCGATCCTGTCCGCTGAGCAGTCGACGAGAGGTGAGAAGACCGGGTTGGTGGGACCACCTCCCGCGTTGTTGATGACTACAGTAAGATGCAAATCACGAATTTCCGCTTGTATTGATGCAAAATCGAGAGGAGCTTGTGATGAGTCGACAGATTGAAGCGGCCGCTCAACCCCATTGCAGTTTACACCTGGCACAGCGCTCGCATCTGCTACCAGTATGCGGAAAGACCTCGAGGGGTGTCTTTTTCGGAACTCAGACGCAACGACGGTGAGCTTGGTATGATTCCGTCCGTGAAGTACGACATTAAATCCTTGTGTCGCCAATTCAGATGCAAAAGCGCGACCAATGCCGTCTGAAGCACCCGTCACAAGAGCCCAGGGCGCATCGCCGTTCGATGAGCTGTGCGCATAACGGCTGAGTTTCGAAGGAAGGGTGTAAACGGCAATCCAGCTCACTGCCTTAAGGCCGGCAAGACTGAGTGTCAAGAGACCAACAGTATATATGATAGCCTGAATGTACGCCATTGAGTGTGCGGGGGAATTCGTGAGGTGTAAGATGTGACGTGATAGTGTCAACATGCACGGACAAGACTGTTGTGGAGCCTAAGTCCGTGTCGCTTACCCCACGTGGATGGACGAAAGTACGGATAAAGAAGACAACATTACGTGCCAAAGACCGGGGAAAATCATTCGCCGCGTACCGCGCGACATACGCCACTTCCTTCGATCCTTCGGCGCATTTGGAATGATCAAGCACTTTCACAGTGAGGTAGCAGGGATGACGCCCTTGCAGGGGCCAGCAGTGATAGCTACGGTGAAGAGTGACTTGTGCCTGCGAGATCCTGGCACTCCGTGTAAGCTCGGCTTTAGTACGGTGTGCAATGAGATCCTGACTATGCCATCCGGGTACGAACGCATCGTAGAAAGCCCCGGTGATACGTCCCATAGTGATATCCTGCGTGGAGAATACATGTAGTTCTCTGCAGGGCTTAGAGACGAGAGCAAGGTACCACATTCGCACCAACGCTTGGCGGATCCCTGTACGTTTCTGCAGCTCTCAAGGTGAAGTTGACTCCATGTGGACTCATTATGGGGCGTCGAAAAAATGGAATGCATCGAGCTACTTCGTCTATGATAACTTGGCAGAAGAAAGAGGGAGGGGGTGCAAGCCCGGTTCTCGGGCGATCACGTACGGTAAGTACTAGAGCAATGAGATTAGCCAAATTGCCGTCCCCGGGCATACCGCATACACTTAGCGATTGAACATGGCTTTGGCTTTCGTTAAATAATCAGCCTCTTTGTGGTCGATATCATTCTCCGAGCATAGTCGTGTAATCAACTTTCCACATCTGTTGGCTGTAACGATGAAAATGCAAGTAATTCGAGTATGGATTTTGATGGCATTGCCATTAGCTATGTCACAGATCACATCGACTGGCTTAACTCTTCTTTTGAACGGGATCCCGTACTTCATCAGCCCCCACATCGCGGCAACTCTCTCGCTCCAATCCGGTGTCCCCAAATATGTTGAGGACGTTCTGGATTTTGTTCCGGTCGCGGTCCTGCCAGCTGCGAGCCGAGCAGACAATGTGTCCCAAATTTTCACCGCTTGGAAGGATACTGACGACGTGTTCCAATCCGGATTCATGCGGCTTCTCCTCAATCAGACAAATATTTCGGACACATCGATAGCACAAGACATTCAAATTACCAATGAGACACCTTCGGCGGTGGTCAGCTTTACAACGAGGTCCGACGTGCCGAAGGGTCCTTACTTTCTGCGC